CCCCCCATGGCATTCAATCCCAGCAGGCAGCAGCAGCAGGTGGGGTTGCTCAAGGTGCTGTTGCCCAGTGGCATGTGGCTTTGGCCAGTGCTGCCAATCACTGTGAAGAGTGCAGCCTTTGCTGGGATGTCTCTATTGCCGGTGCTCCCCACAGCTCACTTTCAACCCCTGCATTTGCGCAGCATAGGAGGGAAGCCCCATGTGCTGGAGCCAGCTGCAATGTTCGGCGCCAGTCAGAGCTGCGTACCGCCAGGCACCAACACCCTGAGTGCCCCTGCCTGCTGCTGCCCCATGGGGTGGAGGTGGGGTCTCCAACCCCCCTCCACCCCCCCCACACACACCACACAAACGCCACACACCCACACCCTGTCCCCACACATAGCTTATGTATACAACCCCCCAACATACCCTGCACCCCCCACATACACCCATACCCCCCACACCCCACCATACACGCATACCTACATGCGCCCACATCCTTAGCCACACCCCACACACGCACTATACATGACTAAGATTTTTTTTTCAGTTATGCAGTCACCTCTACATACAGTATGCAAACACAAACCATGACGAAATATTTTTATATAATAAAATCTAAATAAGCTATAATAGATGTTTTCTAGTTTATGATTTGGTTTTTTCTGGATCTAAGATGGCAACCTCCCCTCCTAAGTGGAGTTTTTCAGGGGGCAAGGAGAGGGACTTCTGGTGGCAGAGGTCAGGAGTCAGAGGTGGGACTTCCAGTTGCAATGTGGCAACCAGGCAGCAGGTCAACTGTCAAGGGGTGGGGCCCATGCAGCCCTTAAAAGCTCACCAAACCTTGTTAAGCAGTCCTCCACCTCAAATAATTTCCTGCCTCTGTTTTAGACCCAAATCACAATTCTCATAGACAAAGAACAGTCACATTGTCCTTGGAGCTAGCTGATATAATCTCTGCTAACTCTTGCAAAAAATACTTTTGTCTCAGTAGTTTTGAGTGACTTCCATGTCTGGCCATCAAATTGAAGCTAGCATTGACTTATAAAGTAGGAAGGTGCTTGGTATTTCTGTCCTTCCAATATGTATTGCTTTGGAAATTGTCATCTACAGACTGCCCCTTTAATTTGGCTTATACCTGCTCTCTGAACAAAGCAGTTAAAATCGAGTGACCAGCAACTGGATAAGTAGACTGTTTCCGAGACCCAACATATACATGTTATGGTTGGACTGGATAAATGCTAAATGAGATTGATATTAATTTTTGTTTAGACAAATTTTAACCACTTTTGAACTTCATGGCATGATGCAAATGTGTTGTGTAGCTTTACTACTAAAATAGAGTTAAACAAACATATCACCTTTTACCTAATGGACTTGTTGGTTGCAACTTTAATTTCTGCCTTTCCTGGATGATATAACTTCTGTGTTTAAATCAAAAATTGAATTATTTGCTTTCAGAGGGCATAGGAATGGGAAAGAAAGAACTTGTTTTGAGTCTGAAAAGGACCACAACCAAATTGTGAAAATATGATTGTGGTGCATGTAGTCATCACTAGCCAATGTGGCCAGTGTCATCACCAGCAACTGTTGTGAAAATATATGGAAGATGATGGCTGTAGCTATCTACAGCATAGCGTAGTATACCAGTGGCTTGGGTCTTAATTAAAGCTAGAAACTTATAAGCACTTCTAGAAAGTGACGTTTTGGTAGGGGGAAGTGAATAGTCTAGTTTCTGCTGGGTTGAATAGAAATCCTACTTGCTGTAATTTAACCGACCACACCTAGTTATGCTAGCAGTATATTTCATTTACTTCATAGCTAAAGGTGCTACTTACTTTCACTTAAGTTAAAAATGCCTTGAAATGTTTAAATGGTTTTTGTCCTACAGAATTGTTGAGAATGGACAAGAGAGAGTAGAAGTTGAAGAAGATGGCCAGTTAAAGTCATTAACAATAAATGGTAAGGAGCAGCTGCTACGCTTGGATAACAAGTAATTCAACGCACGCATTTAACAGAAATTTTAAGCTATAACAGCACCATTTGAGGATTGACAGGAACATTTTTTTTGAAGATTTCAAACGAACTGTACTTTCAGTATATCTACCTAATCTAAAGTATTTATAAACAGCTCATCGGAGCTCATATTTGTCATAGACTTTTGAGTTAATTGTTGGGACCACATTAGTAGGACCATTTTTTTGTCCTTAAAATTGTTGTAAACTTCTGTATGCACTTTTCTTTTTCTTATATATGATCTGAGGTGAACCGTGATCCTTCAGTAGTGCTAGGGCAAAATGTATGCTAACACTAGCATGACTTGCTTTTCCATTTTTGTTTGAATTGTGAGCCAACTAGTAAAGTCTGCTGTGAAGTTAACATTTCCAGGACAAACTTTTTAATAATTTCAACATTTTTTTAATATTTAGTAGTGCAAGATGTTAAACATTACTGGTAATGCATTTCTGGTTTAAATAAATTAAGGATGTTTTCTAGTTGTGCATGAATGCCAACAACTTAGTCAATTTTGACAAATGTTTATGTAATGTAAGACTAGGTAAACAAAAGTAAAGCCAGTGAGCTGGGTCTTTTGTCATTTGCAAAAAAAATTTCAAAAATGAATAAATGCTGATGTTTGTGGTGCATTCTTTCATGAATGGCATTTGAAGCCTTCTTGTGTCTGTGTGTGATTTGGGCAACTGGGGAAAACTACTCTGCTTTTCAACTGTTCCTTCAATCTTAAGGATGAGGGTTTTTTTCTCTTTCGCAGATGTTTTCTTCAGTGTGACTGAAAACGTAGTTTATTTCACTTCCAAATCTAAATGCGAATCTAAAATGAGAGTATCTACAGGGTTGACTGGCCAGCTCCTTTTTTTTTTTTTTCTTTTTTTGCCCCTCTGTATAAACTTGAGCTTGTCCAAAAGTAACTTTCTGCATTATTGGATGCTGCTTAACTTCAGTCTTACGACTGTGTCAGACATCTAACGTGGGCATAAATAAGAAAAATCTACACTAACTGTTGCTGAATTGAAAGGGCTTTCCTTCAGATAAAAGACAGACGTGCCCCTTTTTAGATAGGGTTTTTCATAAAAATGACAGTTGGAGGCCAAACCAAAACATTTAATTTGGCAAGAATTTCATGATCTTACAGAGAGATAAAGAGAGTAATTCTGATAAGTTTCAGCATCTTCAAAATATCGCCTAGCTTGGTTGTCGGCTACATAGATTCTCAACTATCATTAATTTATACAAAAAACAAAATAAAATGTGCCTAATGTCAGTAGAGGGGGGTGTATGAGGCAGTGTTAATTATGAATAGCTAGTATATAATGGTCCAGATTTTCAAAGTTAAACACAAGAAGTTGCTCTTGTTTCTTTATGCTGCTTTAGGCAGAAGATACATGATGAATGCACACAAATAAGCATTTGTGCATGAAAATACTTGCCAGGCGCTGTGCACAAGTCATGCATGTGTGATATTTTATGCCTTTCACCTAGCTTTGAATATCTGGCCTTCAGTGACCTCTTGACGCCTGCTTAACATCTAAAGTTTATATGAAATGTGTGGGGATTTTTTAATGTATGTGGTTTGAAATGATGGTTTGATTCTCTGTGCTGAATGTTGCCTACATGGTTGCTCTAACAAATACATTGATTTAAAGCTTATTAAGTGGAGAATAATTCACCATGTTTTTTGTTCAGATAACTGATTCAACTTAAACCAAGAACAAATAATCTAATGAGCTGCTTCAATAGATTAAACATGTGGTAAGGTTATCAAATCAAATTCCTTCCTCCCTGTTACTTCAGTTCCCTAGAACCAAGCAGTCAGGGTGGGGAAGAAATAAATTATTAAAATTGTATTTCAAGGTTGGGAGAAACAAAAGGTATGTACTGATTTTAGTCGACAACTTTATTGTAATTGACATCTTTTATGTTTTGGTATAGACTTTTGTAAAATTAATCTTGAAACCATATTCTTTTCTTGTCGGTGTCTATCATGTCAAATTTTTGATTAGAGTCAAAGGCCCTCCCTTTCGTAGTATATGACTGCATTGCAAAAATTGTTGGCCACCTCGAGTAAAAATAGTAGTGACAGTAAGGCAACATGGAATTGAACTTAAGTTGTTGATTCAGTCTCAACAGCTTAGCAGCATTGGCTTAGCTCATGTTAATCTGCCTTCTCTTTATCTGTGGGTTTAACTTTAAAAGTTACCTCTAACCAGTGGAAGAATACACCTCTTCTGGCAGAGCAGCAATACAGAAATGTGTCTACCCAAACATATGCTTTTAAAGTTTCTAACTCTACTTTATGGTGAATAGTTCATTTATTTTTTTGGTGCAGAGCATTCATTCGGAGGTCATGTAATAAGAGTTTTTATGTGGCGACTTTGCTGAAAGAAGATTCAGTAATGTGGACAAATGCTTTCTTTACCTTCAGAGTCTTATAGTTACTTTAATCAGTGCTGAAGCCCACTGTACCTTTTGCTTGTGGGCAGCATTACATTTTTCACATAGAAACAGGCAAGGGATTAGCAGCCACAAGGAATTATTCAACTATTCGGACTGTAAACTAATCCATTAGTTTGAAAAGACTTCCACAGTATTAAAGAAAAACTAACATACACATTAAAACTTGTATAGCCCCTAGAGCTGGGAATTAACTTGATTTGGTCTCAGTATCCAAGACTGGGAATGCAGATGCCAGTTCCAAATGTAATTGTCATAAGGTGAAGGTTTTATGCTTCAGACATTCAGAATGAGGTTATTTGAGAATGAATTCATACCTGATACTCATCTTGCTCTATTTGCTGTTTAATTTTTGGATGTGAAACTTATTTTTGCAAATACATGGTAGTCACAGAGATGCCATAGATCAGAGTTAGACATTTCTGATTTGGGTTACCCTTGATATCCTTAGTTTGTTGGAAGTCTTACTAATTATAATGCAGAAATGTATTTTTTCTATTATGTTGGGGAGGGGGAGTAGGGAGACCTCTTATGTTGCATTCAAGACCTTTGTATTGCTTCTTACTAATACATTTTTTCCATGTAAATGGAGAACTGACAAAGGTATAAAGGCTGATGTGAGACACCATTTTAAAGCCTTGCTTATGGTTTTCATTTATGCCCAGTTAATAGAAAAATACCTGTTAACTGACAGAAGTTTACAATTTGAACCAATAATGGTACATCTTACAGGTATCAAATATACGATATAAAAGGATGAATGGAAACATTCTCCTAAAGTTTTGAGAAACTTTATGTAGGCAGGAAATAAATTGCATGTTCAGGTGGAGACGGAGCTTAGCTACTTCCTTCCTGTGGTTTGGAAGAATAAGGTGGGGTTTGCAACCAGCAGCTTTGTAATGTTTTATATTCTTTAGTTTTCAAAAATGTAGTGATTATTGTACAATAAACTTTTTTTGTAATACTTTTGCTTGGTACAACCTGATCTTGACCGTTCCCTACAATTGCATGCCATAATATGCTTTCTCAGGCTTATGCAGTTTCTCCCTCCCTCAGTAAGTCAGTTACAGAAGTTCTTTAAGTGTGTGTGTTATTTGCATTAAAACAATCAAGTTAAAACCCATTGTTTTATCTTGTTCATGCTTGAAATGTTGGTTAATGGAATATTTGGTTTTAAAATATATAATTCATAGTGAATCACAAGCAGAACAGCCTTTGTGGTACCTAATGACAGCTGCTCTGCATACGACAATGCAAGTACTAGTATTAACAGGTACACTGCATTTAATTTGTCTCCATGTCTAGTTGACTTACTGCTGCCATGTTGGGATTGATTTCATGCATGTTTCAAATTTCTCTGCTGCAGCTTGTCAAAGATTAATATATTGAGAGTTACTTGTCATTTTATGTTAAAAAAAATTATTGTAAAACAAGCCCAAATGCTTTCAAAATGAAGGTCAGAAGTTTGATGCTTCCCCATCTAGCCATAGTCATATTGTGTTTTCCTGTTGTCTGTCTGCCTGGCCAAGCATGTTTTTATGTAAAAGTGGCATTTGTCTGCAGTGTGTATAGCTGTGCTTATGTGTTTGAGATTGTCTGCAAAAAAAAAAAAAAAAGATTTGCCTAGTGGTTAGAGGGGGGGGAAGGCTGGAGACCTGGGTTCTGTACCTGAATCTGCTTTGGAAGTTTGGAGACCTGGGTTCTGTACCTGAATCTGCTTGGATTTGCCTGAATCTGCTTGGATTTGTTGGGGCTCTTGAGTTTTTCACAACTTTGCCTCAGTTCCTTCATCTGTAACAGGATGAGTAATACCTCCTTTTAACATTGCAACAATGTAAAGTGGATATACCATGATTTATATCATGGCTGTAATTAAGCATTATTTTAAGGAAACTGCATTAATTATCTCCTTTGCCACTATGTTTGAAATGGTGTTTCAGGACTGAATAGGGTTAAAAGCACGCAACCCATCTTTACATATGTTTTAACTTGGGTTTCTTAAAGGATTGGTAACAAACATAGAGTTATGTTTCTAGTAAAGCAAAGGAAAACTATGGCTGCACTGTGACTTGTGATAGTGAAGATCCGATATAAACTCTTCATGCTTCCTTTTCTGGTGGGATCTGTTTAGTTAGAAATCTGATTGAATAAAAAGTGGACTGATGGTTCAGATTGCTTCAGTGAACTGTCTCCACTCTGCTTGTGAAATTTTATATAATACTATTCAGGAGGAACAGTCTCCTATCCCAGGGGACCTACCAAATTCACAATGTCCTAATTTTTGCAGAAAATGAATTTGGAAGGTCTCCCAAGAAAAAGCGCAAGATCAGCAGCAAGCATGAGAGGGAAGAGCTGCAAAAACAAGCGAGCGGAAAGCCCTGGCGTCCTGAAGCACCGGGGAGGGCAGGGACGGGATTGTAATGGCGGTGTGGCAGGCCTTCCAATGCCTCGAGCCAATGGACCTCGGAAGTCCTGCCCCTCCCCAGAGACTG